CAGGGGACGAATTGGGGCTTCAGTTCCAGTGCTGCCCTCATCCCCCTCTTTCTCATGTTTAGTCTAAAGAGTCCTCATCAGTGCTGAGCTGTGACATCTCTGTCAATGACAAATTCATCGTTACGGGCTCTGGCGACAAGAAGGCCACAGTGTACGAGGTGGTCTACTGAGACCCTGTCTGCCACTGTCTCTTGTCTGAGAGGGATGGGCCTTGCCCAAAGCTGCAGGGGCTGCTGACTCCTCTCCCCCTCCTCCTCCTTTCAGCCACCAAACCAAGGCCCGGGCCAGGTGTCCCCTCAAGCTGGGCAGGGGCTGGTCTGGGCATCCTGAGGGCCTGTGTGTCCATCAGGATGGAGCCAGGGTGAGGCTATGAGCAACTGAGACAATGTTGCTCCTGAAGAGCTGCTACTGATTTAATGGCACCTAGTTTCTGTTGCAGAAACACCTATCAATTATCAGAAAAGAACTGTATTTAACTGTGTTTTCAATCCCTTAGTAATAAAAGGAACAAAAGTGCAGCTGGTCTTGTTTCTTTTTATTATTAAATAAACCCCAGGAAGCAGAAAGGGAGATAAGGACACAGCCCATCCTCCCCAGCCTGGCCCAGAGCCTGAACAACAGAAAAAAAAAAATAATCACAGCAAGTAGTTTTAAAGAAAAAAACAAACAAACAAAAAAAAAAACTTGTACAAAAAAAATCCCACAATCAATCAACCAAAAGACCCTAACAACACCAGGCCCTCCCACCCGACTCCCCCAGTCCAGAATTAGAAACAAACCAACAAAAAAAGAACAAAACAAGGAGAAAATCCCCAGGAAGTTCATGGCAAACAGCATCTGCCACCTCCCAGCCCAGCATGGGGCCTGGCCCGGGCCCAGGGCCAACTCAGCCCCTCGCCATGCTCCTCGGCGATGGTCTGCACGCTCCTTGGGAAGTGAGCAGCAGGGCAGGTGGAGTCCACCCGTTGGTCCACGTGGATGTGCTCCTGTCCATGTGGCGTGGGGCCTCCCTGCAGTTGGCAACTCTTGCACTCAGTAAATGACTTCATAAACTGTAGCTTTCTTGTCCCCTGAGCCAGTGACGATGAACTGGTCATCCGTGGAGACATCACAGCTGAGGACAGAGGAGGTTTCCTTTGACTGGAGAGAGGAGGGCAGGGGGTAAGAAAAAGAAGTGACCCCAGAGCAAGGTCTCATTCCCACCCCTTGGAACCTGTGGCCTTAAGATGTGCCTGGGGAGACTGCATGGGCAATTTTATTTAGAGGGCTCATCATTACCAAGATACAGCTGGGTTGCACTGGGCAGTCCCAACTCCAGGCAACTTCAGCCATAGGTTATGGGAACACCTCCTCCAACCCCACACCTGGAAGATGCTGGCTCCATAGGGTGTCCGCCAGGCGTTCAGCAGCTTGTCCTTCCCCGTGCTCACAAACCACTTCCCTGGGGCAAGAGACAAACTACATCAACATCCAAGGACTCGGCTCAGGGGGCTGAGCATGGGGGAACCAAAAGGACCTGCCTGGGCTGGACGCAGCCCAAGCACATGCAGGGCTGGTCCCTACCACAGGAGGCAAACTTGAGGGAGAGGACGCAGCTCTCGTGGAGGTGCAGCTGGTACTTGTCTGGCTTGGTGACATGCAGGATCTCCACGTTGCTGCTCTCCATGCCCACTGCCAGCCACTCTCCTGTTGGGCAGTACCCCAGGGAGAAGATCTAGGGGACAAACAGGGTCAAGCAGTGGCCCAGCAGGCCCCAGCTGGCCCTGCTATGCTCCAGCCCCTACCTGGGAGCTGAAGTCATGCTGCTGCAGCTGACGCCCCTCCCGCAGGTCCCAGCACCGCACCGTGTTGTCCAGCCCCCCTGTCCACAGCTTGGTGCCATCATTGGAGATGTCAATGCAGCTGGCACCATCCGTGTGTCCTTGAAACTGCCTGGGAAAGAGCGGATGGAGAGGGCAAGGGGACAGGTGTTAAGAGCTCTCGAAGATCCCTGTTGCCAGGACAGGGACTGTTCCCTGGCCAGAGTGAGACCATGGAGGGGTGGCGATGCCCTGGAGGGGGCAGTGTGAGCCCTGGCCCAAGCAGCCCTGCCCACAATCACCTGACCAAGGTCTGGTTCTGCAGGTCCCACACCACGATGTTGCCATCACTGCAGCAGGAGAAGCAAACTTTGGCATCGGGGCTGATGGCCAGGGCATAGCAGGCAGGGGCAGAGGAGGTGAGCTCGGCCTTGATGCGGGGCGTGGGGGCTGCCAGGTCCCAGATGGAGAGGGTGCTGGCCTCCCCCCCCACAATCAGGCTGCGGCCGTCGGGCAGCAGCTTGCAGGAGCGGATGTAGTTGTCGCGGTTCTGAATTGATTACAGGGAACAGTTGAGGGAAGGAGGAGCTTATCAGTGCAGGGAGTTGTGGGAGATAGATCTCCTTATCACAGGCGTGAAAGGACCCTCTGTTGCCCTCCATTGTAACAGGGGCACATTCCCCTCTCCAGCCCCCACAAATTGCCTTTCAGTTCCTCCTCCTTACCAAGCAGTCCAGCTGAGCCACGGCCGTCTTGGTGCCCGGCTGCCCCACGTCCCACACCTTCACACAGCCCTTGCCCCCAGTGTAGACGTGTCGTGTGGAGTTGCTGATGGTGACGGCGCAGACCACCTCGCCGTGGCTCAGGGTGTGGAGCTGCCGCGCGTGGCGGGGGATGCCGGAGCCGAACAGGGCAGCGGGGGGGGAAGATGGGGCGCGGCCGCGCTTGGGGGGGGAGGCCGGAGCCGATCAGGGCATCGGGTGGGAAAGGCACCGGCTGCATCTGCCCGTCGGCGCTGACGTGGAACGAGTAGGCACTGGAAGGGGACAGAGCAGTGAGAACCCCCAAGGATCCCATGCGGAGAGCAGACACAGCATGACCCACACAGCAGCATGGTTTGGGGCAGGAGCCATAAGCAGAGCAGCACTGGTGGAGCCCGGCCAGGCTGCGGCAGCCCATGGGTGCTCTGAGGGGATGTTCTGGCCCAGGCAGTGCTCTCTCACTTCTGGGTCAAGTCCTGTGAGACCCTCAACCGCCCCCCCCCAGCACAGGCACACTCACGGTTTCCCTGATGTCCCCACTTGGATGCCAGCTGCCAGCCCTGGGATGCGCATGTGGGGGTGCGGGTCATAGCCCACCTGGAGGGGACAGCAGTGAGAGGAGCTCGTGCCCCACATTCTCAGGGCCCCAGGG